GAGTCGCTCTTCATCGTGATCAGAGCCAGCTGGAATGAGGCTTCTTACATCAGTGGGTTCTGAAGACGTTGCGGAAATCCAATGATGTTTGCTAACCTTCGGGTATAGGTTACCAACTGTCTTCACCGCTGTTCCTACAGCAGACTTAATATCACGTCATGTCTTCTCAGTATGAAGATTTCTGTCATGTTCAGATAAATGCTTAGCTAACTTCTGGCCAAATACGTACTTCACGTCCTCATCTTCTGATCGGGCATGAACAGAATTTACAGTCGCCTATTTCCTGAGATCAGTGCAGGTGAAGAAATACACGAGCCCGTTCTAGAGCGTGATCAGAGTTCAAACAAGTACTACAGAAAGAGTGGCAATCCTCCAAGGATAGCTTATAGCAATATGTTCTATCTGTGTCTATCGTTGGCTTGAATTCGGCAGATGTCCTGTGAAACAGTCTCTCTCCTTATGCTTAAAGTTAGTGTGGGTCTGAAACAGGTAATTGTCAAAATAAAATTGCAACAGCCGATCACCGTTGTAGGCTTGTTGGCATGGGATTCCGTGGATACCTCCAAGATTCCTTTCCCATCAGCTCAGCTTTCCTATTTCAGCGTTAAAGTCACCTACCATTGTGAATATACTTGTACGTTTTGTTTTCCGCAGCAGGATTGACAGCTTCTCAAAGAATTTATCAAAACAACGCAGGGACTGGATTTGTAGATAAGTGGATGTGAAAGACTTTTGTTTCCAATGAGACTAAGTTATTAGCATTCCTTAGCAATTTGAGAATATAAATCAGATAACATAAACTGAAGTTCCTATACAGTTCATTTGAAAGATATCACTTTTATAGGTATTTAGGCAAACGGGATTCAGTTGTTTTACTTGCAACAAGTAGTGTACAGATACAGACAAGTCCTGAAGGAACAATTTACATTTGAGAAGCTAGGAACGCATTCCAAACATTCTCAAAATGTTCAGAAGACTCCGCAAGTTGTCAATGTCCCAATCTAATAACTTGTTTTTGAAGTAGTTTGATTCCAGCAAGAAATTTCCGGTAAGAAAATGAACCCCTTAAATATCTGGAAAAGGGAGTAATTTTTACAAACACGTATACAGCTAATTTAGATAAAAACAGAGAGGGCGGACATTCCTGATGGAATTCAGTCAGCTTAGACGTACAAGAAGATAGTTTAGTGTCGGTTACTAAATGACAATGAGTGTTCTTATGTACAGAAGTTCGATGTATCCTTTGTGTAATCATTTAAGTTAGAGATAGCATTATCAGGTTTATCAATCAATATTGTTGAACATCACCCGTAGGCTAGGGAATATGCAATGTATCGAGCACTAGCAGATAAGTCTGCATCCCGTGACTTGCCACAAAGTGAAGGTATGATCAATCTGTTCTGGTAACAACCACTTCGAATATGCCTGCTGTTCGTCAGCTCCAGTTAGACGTCGAATGACTATCGACTTGGACATTATATCACACTAATTCCCTTGTGGTTACCATAGGGAGATTTTTATCTTTTTTTAAGTTGAAATGATCTCATATTTAGACCAATCGAATTGGATTATGTCTAGTATTCATTATTATTAGTATTATTAACTCATTCCAACCAATAATAAGCTACCACCACCATCGAAAAGATTTCATGGCAAACTGTCAAGTCGTTGCTATGTTCTGTCTCAGACTAGAAATTAATGCTTCAACATTGATGAGAGCTGGTGAACTGGTCTATACATACTATTCTGAATGAAACCGAATAACATCCAACTAAAGCATGGTTGTGCACTAGTTAGACCATTCCTCAAAGCGCTTCAGTTGACGCTTAAGTTACCTGCTCTCAGGTTGTTATTAAACCATCTTTCCTTGTAGTAATCTTATTAGTTATCTCCTCAACAGTCTATTTGTTGAACCTAAGCAACTGCTACGTGTTACAAAATGTTGATATCTATGCTATCTCGTTATTTATCTAACAGTGTTCACGATCATTATGGAGGCTTCACCAGATAAAATTTCAGCTGCTTCTGCTCTTTATCACGGTTGCAGTCAATCAGAATAAATCTTAGCACATCAATCAGTTTGGATAATGTTATAGAGAAATGTTGACTCTTACTAGCCGTTTATTGCAGGTTGCTATTTATTTACACAATCTAACCATGTTTTGCAAAATAAACACTTTAGGAAAACAACTTACTGTAATTTCAAGTGGTTGGTAATCGAGGTATAGAATTTCGATTGGCTTTGTTACAGGTTCTGAATAACTCATAACAGTGCCAAAATATATAAGGCTAACACGTGAGTATAGAACTACAAGAAAAGAAGTGAATAACGGTGAATTTCTTAATAGTGCGAAAGAAAAAATGTATATTATTTTTAACAAATTTTTCCAAAAAAGTGAACAGTAACAAGCACTGCAACATAATAGACCAAAACATTTACGCGACAGATAATTAACTCAAGTCATCGCTGTTTTCGTCAAAGTATTTCTGAAATATATTCCATAGATTTTTCCGTGAGGTATGACTTGATACCTCCGGACCAACTAGATTGTACATTACTTAAATGCTATATAAATACAACTGGTAACTCAACTCACAGAATAACGCCAATAAGCCAGTGTTAACGGAACAGTGAACTACAATTATCTTATCGGACAGATCTCTAAATAATGGGACGTCTTTTAGTTCTGTAACAGTAGTGAATCTCATTGCATGAAAACATTAGTTATCAGGTAGGCTAGTTACAACTAAGTAGTTAAATACAATAAGTTCGCTGTATATTCATCTTTCTTCGCCTACACTTTTTCGTTCCATTTTATTTAACTTGCGTGCTACTTTGAAAAACTCAAATCCTGACTGGATTATTTACGCTTAGTCTAAATGATGAAAATCCTATAATAAATAATTTCCCATAGAAACCTGGTATGCACAAGTAAGGTAGCTCTGTTGGATGAAACTTCATTAAAAGTACTGTACTCACAACACCTCGATTATCAGCTTTGATAGTTTTGTAATTCTTGGATATACAAAGTGCAAACTACAATTACAGTGTAAGCATCAGTTTTCTACAAAATTACTGAGGGAAATGACTGAGTTGAATCTCTTGGAGGTTTCATTTTTGTTTCATTCACTTTATTTCTTGTAAAATATTCAGTCCCATAAGTTTGTGAAAATTTGTTACCTTGGACCATGAAATAAACGGGAGGTTCAGAATCATCATGAGTAAGAAAAGCATGCACATACAACTTACACCGGTGGTGGTCAATTCGCTTTTTATAGGATACACTGAATAATACCAAAGTTTTATGTACCTCTAGGCACTTTGCAATGGCGTTGGAAACCGGTTAGTTAAAAATATACTGTTTTTAGGAAGTCATATATAACGGTATTTTAATCAAGTATTATTCACCTAATTCAGACTAGATTTTAGGCAAATATTCACTTAAAAACGTTTTAGAAAGTTAAGTAAAGTCGAAACATAGAGAATAACAAAGTAGCGCTTGGCATGAATCTGTATCCATCTAATTTTCAGTACTTTGCATCGACACACTGTGGCAAGATATATAAGGGAGGAATAAATATTACCCACATAAGGAAGTATGGATAGAACTATAAATCCTGCCATCCTTGAGTGACTATCAAATGGCCTTGAGTGCACGAATAAGAAAACGGGTTATTTATTCCTAGTTCTTAGTGAAGAAACGAAATTTACCGTAGATATGGCTTCATAACTACTCTTAGGAAATTACTTATGTGTCCGACTGGTTTTATTTGCTCAAAAGAAAAGTGTGATAAAGATATTCATCTATATGACTTTAAAACTACCCTGTGATATACAAATATGCTTTCAAGCGACCCCCTATGGATCTATGTAAACTCCTGTAGAATTATTGAAAAAGTTGGAAATCTTCGAAAACACGTTAGGTGTATGACATTGGATATTCGGTGAAGTTCCATATATTTTAAACTACAAAAGTTGAAAATTGAGTAATAAAGCAGTAAAAAGAATCCACGAGTGGACCCTAATTTAAACCGCGCTGTTTGTTTTCTGCGTCATGACTCAATGAGTACTGTTTAGTTGCTTGGAATTAAATGGTGCGGTTGAGGGAGTTAAAATAAGGGTTTTATTAGGTTTCAGGGTGCGCAACGTAATGCTAGCATACTCCAATGAAAACTCATTGTCTATAATCATCTCCTTTATATGACATGCAGCCACAAGAAAAATTTCTTGGAATTAGAAAACAGTGCGAGACAATAATATGGGAAACAATTCCCTTCGATTCAGTCAGAATTATTATCAAAATTATATATAAGCCTACTGATAATCAGCCAACTCCTTCAAATAATCCAAAGATTCTCAGGATAAACACACAGTCACCCGGCCATTTCATTGGCCAATCCAAGTTCTTTTGGTAGTCGCTCAAAGACGGCAAGATTCCATAATTCCACCCACATGTGTTAAGTGGATGGATCGAATATCAATTAGTTTGGTCTGGTGTGGTACATTGCTTAGATGATTCTAATATCGATTTTCACTACTTGCTATAATTAACTTTTTAAAATACCGTGATGCTTCCCAGTTATCTAGCCAGTTGCTAGATATTGTCTACAATGTAAGGAATGTATTATATCACCGTCTGAAAACCAAAAAAGTTCAATATTTCACTCTAAAAATTGCATGAAAACTGAAAGGTAAATTAACTTTTTCCACAAGTAATCATTACCTTGACGGGGAAATTCATTTATTGAAACTAGTAGTGTTGGCAATTTGGGATATTGAGCAACAGAATTGAAAATCTCTGCACAACTGGTTGGATTTCCAGTAAACCTTTGATTAAAAGTGCATTGAGGATCGTAATCATGGAATGAACTTGAAATTCGAATTAATTCCATTTCATCTGAATCAGTAAATACTTTCAGTAAATTCGTTGTTTCAAATGAATGAAGTACTTTGGTTACAAAGGAGCAATTCTCGATCATTTCATTTTGATCATTCAAGCTCATTGACACATCGAAATGATCACAATCATCCGCAGTTTGGTTGCCGGAAATACTTTTAAGTTGTTGACCTAAAGTAAAAACGTTATCAGAGTTAAATACAAAAATAGCAAACGTGTTTCACATGGGTGAGTGGATTATACGCGCTTAATCAATACTGAACTCGAAAAAAGCCGAACTTTTCTCAGTAACCTTGTGCACATTGGATCAGTAGGCAATCAGCCAGACCTATTGTATGAGGGCTAATGATAATACCTGGCCGCCTAAACCTTAGTAGGTGTAGCGGTATTTAAATCCGTGACTCATAGGTTGGAAGTCAACTGCCTAAACCAGTGAGCTACAGGAAAGTTATGAAGTGCGTTCACCACTGGTTAAGAAATGTAGTTCTAGATAATAGTGTGACAGTCAGATAATTATCATTTAGTCACCAACCTATCACACATATCCATTCTACATGTTTCGAGTGAGTATGACAGTTGAAAATTCACCCGTCTTATTTCAATCTCAACACCTAGCTATCGCAATTGCACATTGATACAAAAAAGTTTATATGCCCAGTGGAAGAAATGCAAATGATTCCACATGCCTGACTGTTTAGAGCCAAAACATGGGAATTAAATTAAGGGAATTACCGTCCAGTAACCAAAAGCGTTTAAACATGTGTAGAAATTCGGTTTGATATATGTTGTGACGTAGACGTATCAATACTAATTGATTACGTTCCATATATGGAATAACTCTGAGTCACAACGAACGCTTCAGAAATATCAATACAATAGCTTTCTTTGAGTTGCTGAGGAATGATGTGAACATGTTTCAATCAGTGCATAGGAAATTTGTCATACCTGTTAACTAAACATTCAACCTATCAGAAAGGAAATGGCGTAGCTCGATTAATGCAACACGGATCTACTAGTTCATGGGTCATCACAGGTAAATCCCTGTATCAAAACTTCACACTTGTTGAACTTACTTTAACTTACCAAACTTAATAAAACTGCTGAACAACATAAAATAAGTACACGCTACAACCATATATATAAGCATTTAAAAGTTTCGCAGGCATCAGTCAGTTCTTTGTCCAACCAGTATGTCAGTTTTCGGCGTCAACAGAATGTTTGTCGTTAAATTTAGATAACAGCATGTTAAAGTTGGATGCAGAAGATGAAAAAACCAGGTTAATAGTGAGACAAGTAAACTGATGGGGAGAAACTATTACCTCAAAGTGATCCGCAGAAAAGTGGGATTAATAAATCAAACTGTTCTTAAACATGATAATTATGTGAAATTAGGGGAAAATGCCTTTCAAAATGAAAAACCAAGGAAAGGAAAGCTAGTAATATCTTGTCACCATTAATCAATATATGATGAACTGATGCCTACCTAGATCAATTCCCTTGAATAACAAGATTCCTTGACCGTTAAAACAATCCAGTTATGAACAGCGACTAAACCTTGTTAAACTAACACTTGAATACTTTCATAAAATTAGGTTGTTCAAGTGAGTTAGTTTACCTATCTTTATTAAAGTTTATGTGAAGGTAGTAGGTACACGCACAACTGATTACAGTTAAGGATTTTTTTCCTATAGTATTGGTTACCAGCAGAGTCATATTGCTGGTTAACTGAAACTAATATAGGAACAACGTATTTCTAAACATGAGTTTAATGTGCTTGACATTTGAGTCAAAGAGTAAAAAAATAACCACGATACACTTTCAGAAAATACAAAACATGAACTTGTCCCTACCGAATATATGGAAATGCTTTGTATGAACGTTGTGTCAGGCGGTAATTCCGTAAAACTTATTTAGGTAATTTGACAGTAAAAAAATACAATGTCCCAACTTACAGCACAGTAAAAAGTTCAGTTTCATTTATTGCGAATACTGAATGCTTAGAAAAAAAATCAAAAGTGGAACTATTGCTTCCTATTGGGCTTGTACTGTTTATCAAAACAGTGTAAGTGACCATAACCAAAAAGACACAACAAAGTCAAGGACAGTGCCTGCATTACTATTGAGCATGTATCATACATACAAGCTAGTGAGCAAATAAATAGCACGCGCATGTAACACTGAACAAATCATGACCAAAAATAATTGAACAAATTAGCAATCTTACCTCAACAGAATAAGACAAAGGGTTAACCATTTTAACACAGAACATTTTCTTGTTTTCAACCAGCGATTCAAGGTTAACGAGAGGTATTAAGTATTGGTCACTGATATGACTGGATCCAAACACCTTAATATTTGCATAAATAAGTGAGGTAAAAAAACCTGATATTTTACAGCACCCAATGATGTCTGAATGTACATGAAACCTTCAAATTCACCCACGGTATACGGTAAGAATGTCACGTTAAACGTCGCAGATGAAGCTGGAGCAATCTCCTAAGTAGATTGTGATAAATCGAACAGCAAAACCAACAGTTTGATTAAATCTGGACGAAAATATGAACGAAGGAGCTCCAAAAGTAGTGACGAGCTCAATCGACTGGTCAGTATCAATGTTAGTAATCGTGACTTCGACATGCTTAGGGTGTGAAAGTGGCCTGAAATCAGTCATAATATTTTACTGTTCGTACTGGTCACCAAAGTCCAAAAACGTCGGATCAAAAGATAATCCCGAGAATAAATCTAATGCTTCATCAGGTCTGAAAAACAATGGTTTCATTATGACAAGATTAAAGTCTACCGATCGATCTCCAGGTTCTTCAGCCGATACTTTTAAAAGTAATTATGAGAGCTAATTTAACTTACAAAGTTCTCTATGCCATCAACTATAATTTGCACTGCATAATCTTCCTCTATTTCACCTAAAGTAATAGGAAAGTATAAGCAGAACCTCAACTTACGTTTATGGCAGGCACCAGTAACAAACAGAAAGAAACATGAGATAGCTATGGCTAAAATAAGTCCAATGATTCTTCTAGACTTGTTATACAAATCCATTTCAGGTAGGACAACAACAAACATGTACACGATAACGACCTCATCGACCTTGAAATTTAAAATGATTATAGTTACTGCCCCAATATCCAACATCCAATATCAATAATGCGAGCAGAGGGAACTCGTGGTTTTTGAGCTCTTGCTTCTAGGTCTTGAGGTATGGTTCTTTTTGTTTGGCTGAACTTCTTTCCAATATCCAATGTCCAATATTGATAGTGAGAGCGTAGAAAACTGGTAGTTTTTGATCTCTCGCGTCTAGTTCTTAGGGCTTGGTTCAGTTGTTCGGTTTACTCCTGCAGTGGACGAGGAAATCCCCTCTGCTTTCTTGCTTTTAGCTTCGGTGAGGTGGATGTTTTGTGGGTTAGTAGGTTGTAATTTGTAGAGTGATTAGGGAGCTACGGGTTGCTGGGAAGTTTAGAGAACTGCCGTGACTCCTGTCTGTGTAGGTACCTGAAAGAGAATAGTAAGGTAGTGGTAAAGGAATGAAGAGAGAAATAAGGAGAGAAAAATAACAATAATAATGTAGGGAAGAGAAAAGGGAAGGAGAAGAAAAGGAGGGGTGAAAAGAGAAATGAGAACGAAAGAAAAGTATTTGGGAATTGCCCGAATGGTCGCGTGGGTTTGGTTCCTACAGAAGAATTAGTAGGTAATGTGGGTGTATTAAGGAGAGAGATAGTGAGTGGTAGTTAGGAGGGAGTTGGGGGTACTGAGGTTGGTGACTACCTGAGTACGTCCGTGGTAGTCCATGCGAGGTGACATAACTGTCTAATCGCCTCTTGAAAGAGTCGATTGAAGGAGCTATAACGATGTGTCGCGGTAAGGCATTCCATAAAGCACATACTCTTAGGGAGAAAAATTTGGACCTGAGTGTGGTGTTGGCTCTCTGGTGTGCTATCTTAATGGGGTTTCCTCGTGAAGATCGTTCAGTTGCAGGCAAAATTGATTTGTTTGCATGGTCTGCCTGATGGGCGATCTTGTATGCCATAATGAGGTCACCCCTTTTCCTGCGATAACCCAAGGTAAATAGGTTGAGGTGTTTAAGTCTTTCAGGATACGTCTTTCCCCTTAGCCCCACAACACATTTTGTTGCAGTTCTTTGTATTCTTTCAAGGAGATTAGAGTCTCTCTTGAGTGTTGGAGGAGCCACCGTATTGAAGACCTCTAGGTGCGGCCGCACGTAGGATTTGAAAATGGTGAGGAAGAGTTCGGGAGTGAGGGCGCCAAGCTGTCTACGCAGAAAGTGTAGAATGGCGTTCGCTCTGGTTGTCATACCTTTGTAGTTGGAGCTGGTGTCCAAGGTGTCGGAGAAGTTGAGCCCCAAATCTTTCTCCATGGACACTCTGGTGATAGCACGGTTGCTCAACATGTACTGGAAGTCGGTCGTACTTGCCTCATTTTTACTGATGTGCATTACTTTGCACTTTTCCAGGTTGAAGCTCAGGCCATTTTCCGACGACCAGAGCTCGAGTTGCTGCAAGTCCTTTTGTAGTGCTGCACAATCAGCTTCTTCGTTTACCACCCTCCAAATTTTTATGTCGTCAGCGAAGAGGAGGATGGGTGAGGATATTTTGTCTGGCAGATCGTTGACAAACAGGAGGAACAGAAGCGGTCCTAGGATTGCTCCTTGGGATACTCCTGACGTCGACGGTCTCCACTCCGACCTTATTCTGTTCACTTTAGTGCAGAACTGCCTCCCTTCCAGGTACTCCTTGAACCAAGAGAGTAGGGGTCCACTTATACCAGCTGACATGATCTTGTGAAGCAGTACTGTGGGTGGGACACTGTCAAATGCTTTGGCTAGGTCGAGAAATACAACATGTACAGGTTTTCTATTATCCCAGCTTTGTGTCCAGTCGTCCCAGGCGGTTAGTAAGTTGGTGGCACATGAGCGACCACTACGAAAGCCGTGCTGAGCAGTGTGGACAGTGTTTTCCTATTGAGGAATTCCCAGATGGTGTCAGCTACCAGGCTTTCCAACACTTTCGACACAATAGGGAGTAGGGCAATCGGCCTGTAGCTGCCAGGGCTTTTTCTGTCTCCTCCCTTGAAGATGGGTGACAAGATGGCGCTCTTCCATTCTTTAGGGAGTTTGCACGAGTCTATTGAGTGCTCAAAGAGGTTGCGAAGTGGTTTGGTAAGCACCTCGGCGCAGTTTTTCAGAACCACTGGTTTCAGGTTATCGCAGCCAGGGGACTTGCCCGGACGTAGCCTAGATAGCTTCTCGAACACCTTTTTCTCTGTAATAGAGACGTGACAGAGGTATTCGTTATTTGCGACCTGGTCGGTGTCGTGGCGAGTCGGTGTGGATCTTGTGTCAGTGCTGAGTTGGGCTTGGAAGTGTGAGCTCAAAAGCTCGGCAATCTCTAGACTGCTTAGCACACTCCCGTCATGGCCTGTGACAAGATTCACTCCCTTACTGGTCGACTTTCTTCTTGACATGAAGCGGTACAGGTTTTTGGGGTTGCTTTGTAACCTCGCTGCCAAGTTTGTTTGGTAGGAAAATCTGTCGTTACGCACTCTAATGTTACAGAGATTGCGAATCCTTTTGTAGTTCAAGAAGTCAGACTCCCTGCGTGATGTGCGCACTTGAACCAAGCCTGCTTCTTGCTCCGGATAAGCCTCTCTGTCCCACGCTTTAACCATGAGGTTCTCATTGATTGTCTGTGTGTTACTTCTGGTACACTGTGACTGATGGCCCCAGTGATTATTTTCTTCACCTCCAACCAGTGTTCATCTATTGTGAGATGAGTCCAGTCCACTGGCCATGATGCATTCATGAGGTAGTCCCTCATGGTCTCATAGTTGGCCTTGCTGTAGCAAGGGAAGGTGTTGGGCGTCTCCAGTTGCAGAGCCTCCCTAGTTATCATGGAGAAGGTGATTACAGCGTGGTCACTGAGGCCAAGGGGAGGTTGGATGCAAACATCCTCAATGAGAAGTTCATCGTTCGTCAGAACGTAGTCAAGGCGCGATGCGTTTCCGTTAGGTCCCCAGCGTGTAGCATCACCCACTTTCTCTGAGAGGCCAGCAGTCTTAATTGCATCCTTCAGCTTCTGATTGAAGGATCTGATGCGTCTCCCTTCCGTCTCGAAGAGGATGGACGGGGTGTTGAAGTCGCCGGCAATGACTACGGAATCGTAATTTGCAGAGGAAGTCGTTAAGATAGCCTTGATGATCATTTCCTTATGTGTAGGGGAGCTGGTGGGGGACCGATATATGACTCCGAGCAGGTATTTGGTACTGTGGAGAGTGAAGTAGCACCATAGGGACTCTGGGAGCTGGGTTAAGGCCGTATCGCTAACCATCCTTGCCTTTAAACAGAGTTTACGTAGATAGCCACTCCTCCTCCTGCTCTATGTTCCCTGTCCCTGCGGAAGAGTTCCATGCCAGTAACATGCATCTCTTCGTCGGAGATGTCTGGCGAGAGCCAGGATTCGGTGATGAATATGATGTCGGAGTGCTGATGTGCACGCAGCGTCCTCATTTCTGCTACCTTCCCTCTTAGCCCCCTAACGTTGCTGTACATACATATTAGAGTGTGCCTGGTGAGGGGGAGGTCTGGTTGTGTATTTTCGCAGGATGAGAGCTTATGTGGTTGGGTCTACCCTCGCCAGTCCTCATAGGACTGGCATTGTTCCGTTTTTTGGTGTTTTGTTATTAACTTGGGTGGGGGCTGTGGCAGTGGTGGCTTCTTTACTTGATGTATCTAACTCACTGGTCAGCGCCTGTGTGACGACCACTGACTCCAGAGGTCTTGGTGGTTGTCGTCTCTCCTCTTGCCTTGTGGGTCTAGGCTTACTTTCACATATACGTATTGAGCCACCCATGCGATCCTTCGCATTATACCATGCCTGTAGAACGTCTGTGAGGGAGGCATATGAGTCGAACTGGACGGCGAGTAGTCTGGGATTGGGTATGGTCTTCAGGTGCGCTGGCCTTGGCAGTCTACTGACGCTGTTGGCCGGTATACTGTTGAGACCAACTTTGGTTGAGAGCCATTGCCATTGTTGGACGTCGTGAAAGTACCGATCTTTGACCGAGCGGTCACTTGGCAATTCTGGAATCCCATGTACAACTATAGTGTTGTTTCTGTTGGGATTTCCAACCGCTGACTTTCTCTCCTCCTCTCTTATTGACCATGGCTTGTCAGGCCTGGCCCGAATTTTACAGGCATTAACAACGTCCGGTTGTCGCGAGAGGAGGAGTGTGTCTTCAGCCTCTTTGGTGGTATTTAGGGACACACGTAAAGGGGGTGGCTTATCTCGGGGTGCACGGCTTCCTCGAGAAAGGCGACATAAAGTTGCAGGGAGGGGAGGGAGTCCCAGCATCTGACAGTAGTCGGTCCACATTCGGCTGTCAAACCGTTCCCTCTCGACCAACAATGAGTCTGTCGATACATCGACGTTGAACAAAATGATCGAGTTGGTCCTCCTGTGACCTGGGTTCGTTGTGGGTGGCACGCCCGACTTCCCAATGGGTTTGAGTAATTCCACTGGTTGTTTCTCAGTCACGGTGTGTGGGGTGTTTGGAATGGGTTTCGTAGAGGCTTTAGCGGTCGATGTCTTTGGCCATACGCTTGACGTCCCCTGGGGCCGGGTAGGAGGTATGGAGACTTGACCTAATATGGTCCCCACGCGAGGTGGCGTGCCCGCAGCTGGAGCTCTAGGTCTGTTTCCAGGTCTCTCTTTTGGTGTTAACCCTACTTTATTCGAGGATGCTGGTAGCTTTTGCGTGGCGGAGAGCATCTCCTTCAGGCTTTCTGTGCGGAGTGCGGGCATTTTCCTGCACTCTGGACAGATGTACCAGAACCACTTGCATGGTTGTCTCTTCATCAGCTTATAGTATTGTCGGGGGACTTTGGTGTCGCAGTGGCAATGCGCCCATCGTTGACATAGGTTGCATGCAAATGCCTCATCGACTACCGAAACAACTTTGGTGCAAACACTGCAGCCATCGGGTGTCGTAATACAGCCTTCCTTGCATGAATAGGTGCTACGGATTGTGGCGAACTGCTTGTGGCTGCCTTGTTCTGAAGCCTTTTACGTCGTCTTCTATTTCCAGGCATGGTATGATCCTTGCTCAAGATAGGACTAGTT